GCTCGCATGGCGGCCCCGCATCCGTTTCGGCACACGCCTCACAAGTTTCGTGGCCCAATAGGTAGCTCCTACGAAGGCTCAAAGGGCAGGGCTTGCGTGCGCGCCCACGCCCACTTTCATGGCACATGCCTCGCACGTTTCGTGGCCCCATGGGGAGCTCCACCGAATGCCCAAATGGCAGGGCTCGCATGCGTGATCACGCCCGGTTCGGCACACCCCTCGTACGTTTCACGACCCCATGGGGAGCCCCACAGGTGGCCCAACTGGCAGGGTTCGCACGGCGGCGTCGCACCAATTTTGCTACACCCTTCACACGTTTCGCGGGCCTCATCCATGCTGGGCCACCCGGCCAGTCAATCAGCCAGCCAGTCAGCCCCAGGCTTCATCCTTTTCGCGGCGCGCTAGCGTTACTCGCAGCCGAATGTGGTTGGGTCCTTCGCCAGGCTAATTTTACTCCCCGCTTCCCCGTCCTGATTCTTCTCCTCCTCCGTTCCTCCGCGCTCCCTTCATCATTTTCCCCTTCGTCTTTCCACCATTCCCGCTCGTGGTCATCGTTGTCTTTCCCTCTTGTCTTGTTCCCCAATCAGAGCTTGCACTGAAGGGGTCCCTGCGGATGTTGAAAGAGTAGGCGAATGTGCGGCGCCGATTTCAGTGGGCGGCCAGGTTCCCGGGGTTCCCAGGGTTCCCTGGTTACCTGTTTTCGCTTCCGGGGTCTGGGTTCCTGGCAGTGTCAGGTTTTGGTAGGCGGCCGGGTTCCCGGGGTTTCTGGGTTCCTGGTCCCGGGGTTCTTGGCAGTGTCAGGTTCCAGGGTTTGGGAGGCCTTGGTTTTGGCCAAGTGCCTCAGGACTCTGGCAGTGAAAAGTACAGGGGGCAGAAAATTTTCGAGCAGAGTTGACCGGAGAGAGTGGAGAGTGGATCTATTAGAGAATGCAAGGTTCCCGAGTCTTTGCGAACGCGGTCAGAATTGGAGAGTGGATACTGGAGAGCAACGTGTACATACCGACAGTCCAGGGCAGGGTGCCCTTCCGCCGTCGTGCCGCTTCCCTGGGCGAGCGAACTGCGGTGGTGTTGTTTCCGGCCCTCGCGTTGCCACTAGACGCAAGGGCGCCCTCGAGGGCGCGGAGTTATTCGCGCTTCGCGCTTCGCGGTTCGGCTCCGATTCCTCCCCATCCTCCTCGTCTCCCCTGGGGAGGCGGCGCGAGAGCGCGAAGTCATTCGCACTTCGCGCCTCGCGCCGCGCGAAGCGCGAAGTTGGGAGCCCGTGCAGACGCAGGGACGATGGTTCGTCGGAGAGCGGGCGTGCGGGCGGGCGAGCGGGCGGGCGGAGGGTGCGCGGGCGGGCGGGCATGCGCGCGGGCGGGCGGAGAGGCGGGCGGGCGAGCGGAGAGGCGGGCGGGCGGGCGGGCGGACGAGGGGGGCCGGCGGTGCGGGCAGGCGGGCGGGCGGGCGCGCGGCGGGGAGCGGGGAAGGAGGTTCGGGGATCGACCGCGAGGCGAGGATCGAGGACCGAACTTCGAGGATCGAGAGCCGACCATGAGGGATCGGGGCAAAGAGTTTCGGCGAGGATCGAGGATCGAGGTTGGAGGGTAATGAGAGGTTTGGACGAGGACGCAGCACCGAGGATCGATCTTCCAGAGTCGATCAGGAAGCGTATCTTCGGGGATCTAGGTGTTTGCGAGGATCAAGGTGTGGCGAGGATCAGGGTTCGAAGCTCAAGGTTTTGGCGACGATCGAGGATTGATGATCGCGATTCGATGACCGGGGTTTTGCCGAAGATCCAGGTGCTGACAAGGATCAGAGCTCGAGAATTCGTGTCTGCGATATGCCAGAGGCCATGGGGAGGAATGTTGTGCATACCGTTTTGTTTGTTTGTTATTTTTGTTTTTTTGGGTAGAGGAATCGTGGAAGCTGCCGTTCAGACAAACTGTGGCGTGGCGCGAGCATGCAGTGCTCATTTCCACATTATGATGGCGCCTTGCAGCGTTTGAGTTGAGACCAGGGAAACTCTGTGCAACGACGTGTGACTGCGTGCAACTCGGTGTAACCAGGTGCCGCCGGGTCTCTCTACCCGTAACCAGGTGTAGCTAAGCGTAACTACGTGTAACTACTAGTTAGGTGTAACTATAGGGTGCAACTACGCGTAATGGATTTACGCGTAACTAGGTCAATTAGGTGCAACTGTGTAACTAGCTGTAGCTAGGAGTAGCTGGATAGGAGTAGCCGGAAACGCTCTGATGGCACTTGTCGCGACGCTCATTGCCCATATACTCATACAGATATACAAATGCCTGCGGCAAGTTCCGCCGCCGTGCCAGCGCAAGCTCCGAGCAGCGCCCAGAAGGCCGTGTGGCACCTCCCTTCTCTACTCCTTTTAGGTGTTCTCATGGAGCCTACTTCTGCAACCTTGGAGCTGTCTTGAGCTCCTGAGAGTCAATCTTGGTGCCTTTTGGGGTCCTCTTGGCCCGTCATTGGAGCACTGTTGAGCCGTCTTGGTGCCGTCTTTCGCCAGTCGTGGCCGTCGGGGGAGTCTCTTGGGGTTGTCTTGGGGCCATCTTGGGAGCCTCTTGGGCCATGCTTGGACCGTTTTGGGGCTCTCTTGGACTGCGTGGCGCCGGCATTGGAGAACCTCGCGGACTCCGCTGACGTTTCAAAGCTTTCTGCTTTCCTGGAAGGCATCGTGTCTGTTCGTGAGGTCGCTTAGTGGCCTCTTGGCCCCTTTTTGGTGCCTGCTGGGGAGGCAGTCTTGGGCCATCTTGGTGGCCTTGTGGCTCTCCTCGGCCATCTTGAGCGCCTTCGAGGGCCGTGGAGAGAGCCCCCTTGTCGACATCGGAGCGCACAGGAATTCTCGGGACACGGGGGGGGATGCATGCAGCAGGGCTGAAGTAGGATAGGGCAGGGAGGCCTCAGGAGATGCGCATAATTCCCATCAGACAGTATTGATGGGCTTGTTTTCCACCACCACTACCATCAGTTGGAGGGGGAGGGGGTCCTCCTCCTCCTGCTCCTCCTCTTCGTCCTCCTCCTCGTCCTCCTCCTCCTTCCCCCCTCCAACTTATGGTGGTGGTGGTGGTGGAAAACAGGCCCATCAAGGATTCTGCCACGCCCGCGGCGGTTGAAGAGGCTCCAGTGGCGCGGAGGGGGACGGGCGGCAGCCTCTTGGGAAGTCGGGGGGGGGGGGCTTCTTGGACGCCCTCCTGCCTTCCAAGACGCCTCCTCAGAAGCCTCCAGTTCCCACTGGGAAGGGCTGTGCCAGTGGATTGTACCAGAGGGGCCAACAGTACACACTCGAGATCGTATAGTGACCATGTGCTACGACATCGGAGTTTCGGCGCTCCGGCGCCCCCGCCGAGCTCTTAGAGGGCCGCCCCCCGGGGCGCACATCGGCGCCTGTCCTGTCCAGTACCCACTGAGAGGACCTCTGTCTTCTGAGAAGGCCGCTCCCCTTGCCATGCCTTCCCTCCCTGCTCTCCGCCAAGAGGAAGGGGGCGGCTTCAAGATGATCATGGCAAACTTTAACCACGAGCGCTTTGCGATCTGCGTGATGACAAACAGGTTCTCCCGCGTGTGCATGGAGGAGGCGCTAAAGTTCGCAGTGAAGCGGAAGACCTTCGGCAAAACGCTCATACAGCACGACGTGATCCGCTGGAAATTGGCAGAGATGGCCCGCATGGTTGAGTCGACGCACGCGTGGCTCGAGGCGACCACTTTCCAGATGCAGACCATGCACAAGATGGAGGCGAACCTGAAGCTGGGAGGGGTCACGGCGTTACTGAAGGCCCAGTGCACCAAGGTATTCGAGTATTGCGCCCGCGAGGCTACGTAAGAAGACCAACAAAGTGCAAACCATTAGCTTTCGGAGGTCTGCGAGAATCTCTCGAATCGGCGCCAGACCCCCGTCCTCACACCCCCTGAGTGCGCCGGAGGGTCGCCGCCAGGGTGGGGGGAGGGGGGCCCAGGATTAAGTCGGCCTTGTCCCTCTACAGGAGGAATATTCAAAAAATAGAAAATCACAGTCTGGGGACGATTTTTTGAATATTTTCTAACCATGTGGGGGCATTTTTTGACTATTTTTCATTTTTGCCCACAGTTTCCCTGTAGAAGGACAGGCCCGACTCAAGCCCAGGAAATCTGCGCGGACCTTCGGAAGTTCGTTCCTCCAGAGGCGGCGCAGATCTTCGGCGGTCTTTCGTACACCCGCGGGGGCCAGGGCGAGAAAGTGGAGCGCCTGTCTCGCGAGGTTCGGGCCGCGGAACGAATACATACATACATACAAACATACATACATACATACATACATACATACATACATACATATATATATATATATATATGTTTGCCAGCGCGGACCCCAAACAATGGATTTGTATTTCTCGACTCGAAGTCTTTGTGATGCAATATTTCTGTGGTGCATCCTGTGTGTTGCAACACTTAATTGTTCCACCTACGTAGTGCAATCTATGTGGTGCAAGCTTATGCGGTGCAAGCTATGACATGCGATCCAGGTGGTGCGGTCTATGAAATTGCACTGTGTGCGATGCAGTTAATTTTGATCGCGCCCGCACGCGACCACTTCCACTGCTCTTGCGAGCATCCCACCTGCCCACCCGAGAGGTGTTGGCAAAATTCAACAGGGCGGCGACATCGGCGATGATGATATTCATGCCGACGGTGGGAACAATCGACGACGACGACGATGGTGATGGTGATGGAGCTGATGGTAATGATAATGACGATGGCAATGATGATGCTGGCGATGATGATGATGGCGCTGGTGAGAACAATGAGAAAATACGCGCGCAGTCATTTGACGAGGGCGACAACATTGACGATGACGATGATGACGGAGGTGTTGATCATGACGACGATTGTCATGATACTGGCGATGACGATGGCAATGGTCACGTTGACGATGATGATAGCGATTGTGTTGATCAGGGTGATGGGGAACTTTCGCGTCCACCGACATGCAGAATGTCTGGCATTTTCTCATTGAACACGGTTGCGCTGTTTGCAACTAATTTGAAACACCCATGTGTTGAAATGATTCGATCACCTGTGGGTTTTAGAATGACTTCGACGTGCGCTCGCAGAGGCGCGCGCGTGTGGCCCGCATGGTCTCATTTGACAGCACGTCTAGACGCCCGTGCTTCTCCTATGATTGCAGCGAGTGGGCGCGCGTTTTTTGCTTGGTTTTGCTTGGAGACGCAATGGCGTTTCATTTGTTCTGTTGAACGGCTCGGTTTTGACATGGTTTGGGGTCTCACTGCACGTGAAATTCTGTAGCATGCGCGCCAGGTGGCGTTCGCATGTGCCCCACGAACCTTTTCGTTTGCAAGGGGTTCTTGGAGAAAGCACTTCTTAGATAAACGCACGTGCACCGCGCATTGCTATTTTACAGGGATGTGTGGCAGGGGCGATAACGGGACTGGCTGACATGCGATGAACCGATATTCTGGATGAGCGATTGTGCAGAGTGAATACGGGAAAACAATGCGCGGAGGAGGGAATAATTCAATGTATGGGTTGCCAACTATGTGTTGCAATTGACTTTTACCCATGATGTGACACATCCCATGCTCTTGCAAACATCCCACCCACCCACCCGCAACTTGGTTTGCAAAACCTCTAAAGACCGACTACGACGACACCGACGACAACGACTACGACGACACCGACGACGTCTCCGACGACTTCGACGACGACAACGACGCCGACGCCGACGACGACGAAGACGACGACACCAACGAAGACGACGACGAGGGAGGAGGAAGGACGACGACGGCGACAACGACGACAACGACGACGACGAGGGAGGAGGACGAGGACGACGACGACGACAACGACGACAACGACGACGAACGACGAGGGATGAGGGAGGACGGCGACGACGCGAACGACGAAGAAGGAGGAAGGACGGCGACGCCGACGACGACAACGACGAGGGAGGAGGGAAGACGACGACGACAACGACGACGACGACGACGGCGACGAAATAGGAGGGACGACGACGAGACGCCGACGACGGACGCTGACGACGACGAGGGAGGAGGAGGAAGGACGACCACGGCGACAACGACGACGGAAACGACCACGACGCCAAAGAGGACGACGACGACGAACACGAGGAAACACAGAGGACGACGTAGGCGACGACGACGACGCAGGAGGAGGGAGGACGGCGACGACGACGACGACGACGCAAGAGCGCGCGCGCACGCTTTTTGTTGAAAATCCGTGTTGCGAAACCATGTGTTTTTGTAGGTTCTTTGGACACACGATTTTGAAATCCTTCCGAAACTGAGATTTGTTTGAAGGATTTCGGCATACGCGCGCGACGCCGCGCGCGTCTGCACTTCGTCCCATTTTTTGCAGAGGATTCTCGCGACGGCACACGCGCAAGGGCGTTCGACAGATTTCGACGCGAAGCCCGTTTAACAGCATTTTGTGAAAATCTTGAAAAACCTATGGTTTTTCTTAAGATTTCGCGAGAGCTCGCGCGTAAGCTTTTTTAGCAAACCAGTGTTACGAAACCCTGTGTTCTTGTATGTTTTTTTGGAAACTCGATTGCGAAATCCTTCCGGCACCGAGGGTTTTTGAAGGATTTCGGCATGCGCGCGCGGCGACGCGCGCGTGTGCACTTCGTCCCATTTTTGGTAAGGGATTCGTGAAAAAGTGTTATGTTAGAACAAAAAATCTCACCGCATAGTGTTTTTCACAAGGGAACCTCAGGGGAGGGGATAACAGCCCCCCTGGGATAGTGTAAATTCATATTTAGGATGAACATGTGGTCAGAATCATATATGATTTACATACCCGAAAGGTGAACCGATAACGCCGGGGGGGGTAGATCCTATTCTGTTTTTAGAAAGGAAAATCTATGCAGTGCAGGCGCCAGCCAGCTCACCAGGCGCCCTCGAGGCGTCTTCCGGCGAGCACTGTGCCCAAACCCAGACACTCCAGCCATCGCGCGCCCACGGACGGGCACCAGGCGGAAACCTGGAAAAAGCCAGCGCACGGGGCGCCCACGAGGCGCCCGCGGTCGACCCCCGGGCGACAACCGTGGGAGCAGGCCGACGGCTCACAGAGTGAGACATCAGAGATACGCAGGACAACAGTCGGCGGCGCGCCAGGGGGGAAGTGAGAAGGAGGAGGCCTTCTCAGAGGGCTCGGAAGTCCTCCGGCCTTCTGCAAGGTTGTCTAAGCCCTCCCCGGAGGTGCAGAAAGCTTCTCAGAAGGCCAGAGGGCACCTGAGAGGCCCTCTGCCTTCTGAGAAGGCCTTCTCCTTCTCACTCCCCCCCCTCGCTCGCCGCCGAAACAAGTTGTGTAAATACACTGGCGCAGTAAAACAAGGAAGCACTGTCCTGCGAGGTTCGGGCAATGGCTGTGCCTGGCGGCTCGGAGGAGATTATGCTCGACCTGGGCGTTCGGCAGACCAGGAAGCTGACCGAGATGGCCCAGCAGATACTGGCAGGTCAGGCCCAGACCCAGGCGAAGCTCTGAGCGCCATCAGGTTCTCCTGGGCCCATCTCGACGGGCAGAAAACTACATAAACATTTGCTGTCGGAGGTCCGCGCGGAATTCTTGGGTCGGCGCTGGATCCCCTTTCCTTTCCCACACCCCTGACGGTGCCTCCAATGCCGCCCTGGCGCGCTCCGCGCGCTGGGGATGGGGATGGGATGTGGAGAGGAGGGTCCAGTGCTGGGACCCCCAATAGTTTCCCTTTGTGCAGTTTTGTTCCCCAACCATCCTGTGGTGTTGGGTCTTCGTTTTGAAGAGACAGCGCCCCGCGTCCCATCCACTCATTCACTACTCACTCACTCACTCACTCACTCACTCACTCACTCACTCACTCACTCACTCACTCACTCACTCACTCACTCACTCACTCACTCACTCACTCACTCACTCCTCCTCCTCCTCCTCCAAGGCATATTGGTCAGGAGCACGCAGTTGCCGAGGGCGACAGCCGCCCAGCTCCCACACCACGCACTACACGCCTCTGTTCGGAGACGTCCCCTGCACATCTTTACCATTCCGCGATGGTTTCTAGATGTCTCAGTGTGGGCTGCTGGCTCCCGTGCGGCGGCTGCGCGTGCTCCAGTACAACCCGATGCACGCTTCCAGCAGTGAGCGACTCACATCAATCGCGCAGGCCTTCAGGGCCTATGACTACGTGTGCTTGAACGACACCACCGCCAAGGGCTACGGCAGGGAGAAGGCCTCGGAGGCTCGGTGGCGACGAGCTGGGGATCACAATTGGTCCATCGAGAGCGGGTGGCCCAGGGGCACTTTGCGAACAAGAATATGGGCTGCAGCCTCATTTTGGGGGCCAATATTCGACGCGGCTCGATCTCTCACACCTGGACGCCCCTTGCTTCATTGGCTGGCCGCGGGCTGGCTCTGCGCGCACGCCGCGCTTCGTACGATATCGGGGTCTGCTCGGCCTACTACCCACCGCCGCCCGTGAAGGGCAGCTCCGAGGTCTACCGCCGCACGTGCGACGCCCTGGCGAACTGGCTGCGCTCTCTGCCCTACTTGTGCACCAAGCGTGTGCTCCCCATCTTCTGCATCGGCTTGAACTCTGGGTTCGGCTACCAGCAGCTGGATGGGGACACCACCAGGCGGGCTGCCCAGTCCGACGTCTTCGGCCACTTAGGCCCAGGACAAGCAGCGCTATGCGGCCGACTGCATCATACCCTTATGGAGGAGCTCTGCCTGGTCGCGGTCAACACCTTTATAAACCATGGGCCCACCTTCTTCGGTTGTAAGGGCGCCACGCAGATCGACTTCGTGCTCATGCCCAAGATTCTGCTTGGCGACGTTACTTCGGCTGGCCCACTCCAGGGCCTTGGACGCGACCTTCAGGTGATCAATGCGCGGCAGGCTCGGGACCATGTACCAGTACACGTTTGCATTGAGTATTCTATCGAGCAGACTGCGGACGCCCACATCCACTTCACATTCAATGTGAACGCGCGTCTGGGCTTTGTGCCCCGACACATTCGCTGGAACCGTGAGGCCCAGACGCAATCTCTTCGCAGTGGACAGGGCCGAGCATATTTTCTTACGGAACTGGAAGCGAGGCTATCGTCGAGCACCGGTGGCCCTACCGACGGGAGAGGAACTTGCTCAGCGCTGGGCCTTACCAGCAGGACGGGGCGGCATGGCTGCCGCCAACGTCGACTGATTCAAGGAGGCTAACGACTACGTCTGCGACGACGCTACTGGACAGGAAGCACATCACTTCATCGCTCCGTGGAAAGAAGAGGGCTTGGCATGGGCAAAGCGTCGAATGCAGGAGATCTGCAGATGGGTTAGACGAGCTCCTAAGCGACGAGCTTGCCCGCCCTGGTCAGCACGGTTAGAGCTGTGGTGGATGGTCTTTCACCCTTGGCTCCACGTCTCTCGACGATATTGCTGTGTTGGCTACGAAACCCCTCAGATCGACCAGGAGTTCGCACGCAAGTTTCTGGTGTTATGCATCGGCTTCGCAGATCGGGACAGGTGCCACCGGTCTGGCACTTGAGTCAGGGCGTTGCGCTGTCTTGGAAGCGTGTTTTTTTCGCATCCGCGACCCGTTCGGCAAAGGCTTCATGGCCACGGCGATCGGCGCGTCCGAGATGCGCGACGAGCCGCTCTTCGCGCGCGGCTGCGTCCCGCGCCGTAGGCGAGAGGCGGCTACTCTTGGCCGCCAACTCTGCGCGTGGAAGCTGCGCCGCCTCAATATCAATCACATCACTGGCTGGAAGGATATTGCCAACGCCTTCGCCTCGACTGACAGAGCCTCGCCGACGCCAACGAGAGCATCATGAGGGAAGACCGTGTGGCGCACGGTCGACAGACATTTCGGTTTGCTGCAGTTATGTTTGGAGATATCTGCGTCCGCCCCAGCATGGGCGCAGTGATTGGTGACCCTTGGGGGGTCAAGGTATTCGCGCGGGACATCAGCGCGGTTTTTGTGGCTGTGCAGGAGCAGTTCGAACGGCGCGGCCCTGAGTCGGCCGCCTGATGCCAGCTCGGTCTAGACCACGACGGAGAGGATGTTTTTCTTGAGTTGGCCTTCCACTCGTACGTCGACGACGCGATCCGCAAGATTGTGACAGTGGAGCAGACGGCTCGCGAGCTGTCTCGCTGGTCTTGCGCCTGCGATCTTTTTCTGCTGCCGAGCTTAGACGGCGCGGCTACGCCCTCAACCCCTCCAAGAACGTCAGCTTCCTGTCGTTCGTGGGCGAAGGTTTGCACGTCCGACGTCGGGAGGCGGCGGCAGAAAAGTTATCCTTGCGGGTGCCCCTGCCGACGTCATTCGCCATCTTGGGGGCCAGGTGATGGGCGGCGGTTCGTTTCGGACTGAGCTGAGTTCCAGGATGTCGGTTATTTCGTCTGGTTTCTAGTCCATGGGCAGGCGTTGGTACTCCAAGCGCGTCGCCTACGTCGAGAGGCGCGCCGTCTTCCCGGCAAGGGTGGCGGGCCCTGCTCGTTCTGCCTGCGAGGCCTTTTCTGCCCACCCCGAGCCAGGTCGACCAGCTCGCTGCCAGGGTGGTCTTCTTTGGGCGTAATGCAATGCGAGGGGCGGCCGCGCCTCGGGGGGGCGGGCGCGCTCGCTGTGTCACTTCGGAGGCTGCGTTGAGGTGCTGGAAGGTTCCTCCGCTCGAGGTGGAGTTCAGGGTTCGTCGTCTGCGCTGGTATCAGAAGTAGGCCTTCAGGCCTTCAGCCCTTCGATGCACCTGGGTGAGTGGGCCCCCATTTTCGGCGACCTGAAAATCGGAAAAGCAACTGCGGGGCCTCAGCGCGCTCACCTCCGAGGGCCACCTTGCGGCGCCCGCTAATCCTTGGGCTATTTAGTTCGTTCGGGACTTCGAGGCACTTCGGAGGGTTTCCGCGGGCACCGTTGGACTTCTTCGATGACGGGGAGTTGCGGGACTGGTTCATTGAGCTCGATCTCTCGGTCGCCAGGGCAGCTCGGCTCTCGATCTGTATCCCTCCACAAGGTCACCCCCGCCAGGCCCCTCCTGATCCACCGGAGGCACCAGCAGGTCATGCTGAGGGAGTCCGTTGCACGATCGACGGCTGTGCCAAGTGGTTTCTCACCAAGAGGCAATGGCTCGTCCATGTTCGTGCGGCTCATGGCCTTGAGACTCTGATTGGTGAAGGTATTCAGGGGGCATCGTGCTTTGTCTGCCGCAGTCGGTTCCAAAGTCGCAATTCGTCTTACAATCGCGTGCTGGACTCGTTCGTTTCTGGCTTCTGCAAGTGCAGGCTCAGCGCCGCGCTCGAGCTCGCTGTCCCCGAGGGCCCCTTCCATTGTCGCCTTTGTGAGGCTCAAGTTCAGACCGAAGCCGGTCTCCACATTCACGCTCGCCTTCATTTCGAAGACTTGCCACTTGTGCAGCTCGATGGAGTTCGAGGGGCCCACTTGGGCGGCGAAGCGCAAGACGGGCGGGGCAGCAGACGGCGACTCACGGTTTGCCAAGCAGGCGCGCCTGCTTCAGGAGATCAGGGAGGAGGCGGTGTCCAAGCAGAAGGGTGGCAAAGGGGGCGCGCTGGCGGCTCTGCTACTGGTGCTCACGAAGCTCGCTCTCGCCAGCGCGCGCGAGTTGGCCGAGGTGACTGGCACTTGCTTCGCGTGCTACATGATCGGCGCGGGCGTCAGCTTCGGGAAGGTGCTGCAGGGGGCGGGGCGCGCCTACGCCGAGAGCTGCAAGGCAGACGGCAAGGGGCGCAGGTGCGGGTCGCCGTGGCCCCGCGCGTTCAAGGCGCCCACCAAATTTGCGCGGATGGGGCAGCGACCGCGCCAGCGCCAGTTCAGGAGCTGTCCAAGGATTACTGGCAGAAGGTCATCATGGCCCCGAACGCGCTCGAGCTGATGGCCTCCCGAAGCATGCTGGTGCGACAAGGAGAAGGCCAAAGTCCCGGGTCGCTTCAAGTTGCAGATCATGCTCGGGGTTCAGCAGCAGGCGAACAGGCGGGGGAGCTGCAGGCGCACGCTGATGGAGGCCCTGCAGTTGACTCACGGCGGCGAGCGGCAATGAGAAAGAGCATCGCGTGACCTACTTGCCAGGCTCGCCGCCGCGGGGCGGGCTGGAGCGCGAGGCGGCGAAACTCGCGCAGAAGCTGGGCCTCAGGGACAAAGAGGAGGAGGACGTGGACGCGCGAGCGCACGGCCCACCGCGAGGGCCAGGTTGGCTGCAGTGAATGGCTCACGCCGCGCCGCTGAGCTTTACCTCCAGGGCCACCTGTCTGATGCTCCCCTCCTCGCCCTTCAGTCTCGGACCTCTACCGCGATTCTCGAGTATTCGGATGGTGCCCTGGAGGTTCGAGTTTTTTCAGGTTTCCCCCCATTTGGGCTTTCTTGGGCGCCGCGCGTTTTCGGGCGCTTTTTGAGGCCCCTCGGCAGCTGCGCCTGGCTGAGAGTTCTCTGGGGGAGGGCCGTGTCGCGGGGTCCACGCGGGCCTCGGACGTCTGGGCGGTCCCGCGCCGTGAGTCCTGATTGGGGATGTGCT